TGTAAAGGTTCTAGATTTGCATTCGCGCGCTAGGACCGCCTCGGTTTCCCGCTATTTGCGATTTTTGAATTGGCCTTGTGATTCGCTAGATATTCGATATATGTTCTTACAAATAAATGAACTAATTACTTTCTAATAAATTCTGGTGGTCCGCTAGTTAGTAGATCTTTTGCAAGTAATTTTTATTGCAACGATAGGGCAGATGGGGTGGCGCGGGGACGCTTGGCCACGGTTTCATGAACAGTCTAGTCATTTCGGATCTAATATAAGTGTGCCAATGCACGCATCATCCATACTTCGCCTAACCATCCCGGATGTCTTGGCCGTTTTGCTTATTGTAAACTTTCCCTAAATGTTTCTTCAAGGCCGTCTTGAAAAATTCGTCTTCTTCTTCAACTTCTAACTCTAGTTGCCAACAGATTGTGAATCAGATTTGGTATAAGAGTAATAGACTAATCATTTTGTATAAATTTTATTTGTAGCGGAATAGCAGATACATCGACTTATATAAATAGATTCTGAGTGCTTGCACTTAGATCTCTTATGAACCGTATGAGGCAATCCTGGAAACAAATGTCTATGACTGTTAAGCGAATCAAAACATAATGTAGAGATGACACAGTCGATCATAGACTTGACAAAATCAGGTGAGATTCAATAACATGCTAATCACTATCACTGTATTGATTCAACTACTACAATTTGCAATGACTCAGACTATTAAAGAAAAATCTATCTTCGTTCACAAAGTCACATGGCTTCATCAAGGATGCGGAGAAAGATATGTGGATGAAAAGTAGACCCAAATTGGAGACAGGCACATGTATCGGGAAGTGATAGAACAAGGTAAATGTCAAAATAATAGGAGAGGAATATACATTGTGTATTTTGATATTATGTTACGATGATAACGTCATATCGTAGTATACTCCGTGTTTATTGAGCAGTTGTTCGTGTGTGCCCTCTTCAGCTATGGCGCCATCGACAACGACAAAAATCTTATCGACATTCCTTATTGTCGATAAGCGGTGAGCAACTGAATATTTATCGGCATAGAAGTTTCAGTAAATTATTTTGCTGAAGAACTTACTTTGGATACAGGTGCAGGACTTTTGAGCCTTTTCGAAAGCCATTTGTACAGCCTGAAAACGTGTATTATGATTAAGACATGTGTCCACAACAAAATATATCCTTTGGTTCAATAGGATTGGCAGCTGGAATGCGGCGCTTCGAGGCTAGTGAATAATCAGAGAGCACGCTCGCGAGAGAGACGCAGACTGCGTCG